ATATAAGGTTATTTTTTCAATTCCTCGTGAGTGTAAAATATATTAGGTTTGTGACAGAATGAACGCAAAAAACGGTTCATTTTGATTAGGTTGTAAGCGTCACCAATTACCAGTTGAATATTGCTCTGACTGTTATTAATATCAATTATGATTAACATCAGTTTACAGATTTAATCACAAACTTGCTCAGTTTGTAAATTGTCTAACCACTAAAATGGATATTAACCACCATTCACTTGAGACTCTGAGCCAGTCAAGTTAACTTGAATTTTATTCAAATTGCGAATAGCAAGTCTGTTCAATTTAATACAAGTTCAAGTTAACCGTTGTGATATTGAAATTGAGGTAAGACAAAAACACAACAATTGTAAACCATCATTAATAAGCAAATCAAATAATCGTCATATATTTTTTGTTAAATTGAAAAATATTTTTTTGACTTTTAATTTTGTGCTGTTTGTTGTAAAATTAGTCGCTTTGACAAATAACAATAACCAGAGATGATTCAATTGGCTCGTTGTTTTTCAATTGTTTCAATAACAATTTGTATCATTTTGGGAATCATTTTCCCTGGTATTTCGCCTCTTCCTCAACGCTCTGGTTCCGAGTTTATCCATCAACGTATCTTGAGGTCACAAAGGATCCAAAAATGTGGACGCAGTTTGATGAACATTCATCAGCTTGTTTGCTCTGGTGCAGCTCCGAGTAAACGTAACCTCAATGAAGATGCATGGCTTCTACAAGGTAAGTTATCATTTCTTTTCATTGATTTAACTACTTAATTGTTCAATGATTTAGTGGAGTTGTTTAAAACACATTGAAAGACAGAGTAGATTTGGTTAAATGAATTAGACTTTATTCAATTTGAATCATACTTTTGTGTTCTCTGAGTAGTAAATTATAAAAATGGCTTATCCATGAATATTGCAGTAAAATTTACATAACTGATCCTTTTCAATATTTTGTGATATAACTGATTAATTAAACTATTGAACATGAGTCTACTTAATTAATGGATAGTATTTCCTTGAAGATTAACTCACAAATTTATCTAACCTTCAGTGCAATTTTGTTAAACTTGTGTGTTTGTTTGTTTTGTTTGTTAAAAATGTTTAAAATGAATGTTTTTAAATAAATGTGCTTTTTGTGATTCGTTAAAATGAATTGTTTCACAGTAGTTCTGTTTGTTTAATTTGTCCATCAACCAGATTTAGGATCTTGGCCAAAGGCTTTGTTACTTGATAAACCTGACCAGGACGAAAATGAATTGGATCCAGCAGAGGAGCCGGTCGAGTGGAAGATGGTCCGCTATTCTTAAGAAGCACCCGTCAGAAGAGTCAATTGGTCGATGAATGTTGCCATAAATCGTGTTCCGTGGACGAACTCAAAGCTTATTGTCATCCTTCGGGTAGATGATTACAATTACCTGCTCGAAGGAGTGCCTATGCCTTATAACCAATCAAATTGTTATTTGTTTCTCTATTTTTGTCTTGTTGCTTCAACTTCTCCTTATCCTCCGTCATTGTCTTGCAATTGCCTTCAACTTTAATTTACTTTCTTAATCCATTGCCTTTTGGGTTAACTTTTTGTCCATAAACCAAATAACTATCCATTTTCATTGACATGAACGCTTGATTTGCGATCGCTGTTAGACGATTGAAAATCAAGCAAAATGAATGCTTCGATTGTTATCAAGGTTACCAATCAAGGTATTGATAATAAACAGAAAATGTTTAACTTTTTGTATTTCTGTTGACTTTTTTTCTACTTCGACTGTCCAGTGTACAATACCTGGTACTGGGCCATTGTCCATTTTCATCTCGATTACACTTTCCTTTTAATTTCCTTTACATTGTCACAGCTTTTTACTTTCGATCTCCATTCTTGTCATCTTGATATCAATTTAATTTTTTGTCTTAAAACGGAAATTTGAACGCTATTTGCGACCTTTATTCATTATCCATGATAATTGAGTTTCAATCAAATCTATGAGCATTTTGAAAGGCAAACACCACTTTACAGACAATTAGCTTCACCATTTACAGAATTATTCATTTTATATGCAAATCTTGTGAAAACAATAAACATTTAAATTCATCTTTCGATTCAAAAATAGAAACTCGAACTGAAATGAACCGAGCCGAAATGAAATTTTCCTCCATCAGACCAACTCTCAAATGATCAAATCAAACCCAATCGCAACCACCAACAAAACTCAAACTGAAACTATTCAATTTGCTGTTTCTGTTGCTGTAAACTCACAATTGTTTGGGTAAATGAAGGAATGATTGATTGAAAGAAAAGTTGATAATGATGAAAGTCAAGTTTACTGATGATGTTACATAAAGTAGTGTTTACTGTTTACAGGCAAAATGTCAGGCAAGTTGTTTGCCTGACAATCCATTTTATTTATATTATTACATTGGATTGGATTGATGTTGGTAAAGTCTTTCATTACTATTATTAGAATAGGGATTTGATCAGAAAAAAAGTTGGAATGGAGGCAAAAAATGGTGAAAATATCGTGAATAGTGTTGTTCAGGAATACAATGAAGTTTACTATGTATGATGTAAAAGTGTTCATGGAAACAAAAGGGAAAAACTTTGTATCATTTTACTCAATCAATTGTCATCTTTATTCAACTCTCCTAATCCATTAATGGATCCAATTAGCTGGAAGCTTGAAAAAGAGGGAAACCCAAAAATCCTTCTGAATATCTAATTATTGGTCAAAGAAAATTCAATATAAATTATTGATGAGTTGATTGGAATACAAAAATTGAAAAAAATTTAAACCTTTTTAACCTTTTAATTAACCTTAACTGAACGACTTGAATTGCCTATGAATTTATAAAAAGTAAAGGTTCAACGAAAAATTGTCTTTACTCAGTTATTATCTTTTGCTGAACAATTGTTTACCTTCTGTTATTCAAGTGATTTATTGAAATAATGAAACTCGAAACATGATAATTACATTGTTCGGCTTTTCAGTCTAACTCCATTTTGCTCAGTAAATTGAATATTTAATAATGATAATTGCTGAGTTGATGAAAAACAAAGAGAGGAAAGGAAAGGGGAAAATGAATAACAAAAGGTGAACAAAATTTTCACTCTTTTCTGGTTCACTCTCAATCTGATAGTTTTACCCTGAATTTACATTTTCATCGGATGTTTAATGAATATATTTGGATGAACCGAGTTCGACTCTTAAAGAGTTGAATCAATTTTTATCAGTAAAATGAGCAATTGGAAGATTAAAACAACATTCAACTGAATTGGAATGAAAAACGAGAAAAAAAGGGAAATTAATTGACATTTGAATCAACAAAAGTCGCACTTTTTCATCTCATCTTTACTTTTGCCTTTACTTTAAACTTTGTTTTCTTGTCAACCTTTTACTTTGTTTAATTATTATTGTTACAACTTGATTTAATTGATAATTTGTTAACTTTAATCAGATTTGCACGTTAATCAACAAGACAAATGGTTGTTTTGTAAAGTTAACTGTTGTTGGTTAAGATTGATTAAAAGTAAATTAACTATGAAATTCAATTAAGAGGTTAAAAGTTAATTGTGATTCAATGTAACTCTTTAAAGGAAAAGGTTTCCTCCATCAATGTCGACCCAATGATCAACTTTGATAAATCAATAATTAAAGAAGAAATTGATTTTTGGAAACATTGAGTGACCTTCCAGTGATTAATTGATTGCCAATTGATTCCAGTTGGAAAGGTAGTTGAGTAACTATAATTAATGTTCACTTGATGATCGTTGGTTCAGTTGATTATTGATCAACAAATAATTTCATTCAAAGTCTGTCTTTACTTTGACAGATTCAAAGGTTTCCCTGATTATGAATAATATTGAAACTGGAAGCTTGTTCAACTTAAAGGTTGTTCAAAGTTCAGTATCAGATTATGGTTTGGATTATTGTTGTGATGAGAAACTGAAATTATAGCTTTAAATGATTTTCTCGCTTTTCTTCATTTCATTTTATTCTGAATAACATTTGAGATGGACATTTATCTTCATTACAATGTGCTATAATTATGTGATTTTCAGGCTTTAATTGCGTTCCATGTTGACTGTTATTAGATATGAACTTTTATTTGATTAGCGCAAAAAGAGACGGAAATTTTTCTTCAATCAACTTTAGTTATTAACAATTTGTTCATTCTTTATGATCGTTATTATTACAGTTATTAACTTTTCTTGTGTGTCTAAGCTTTTCGTTCACGAGTCTTTCATTTGATTAACATGAATTGTGTGGAGAATGAAAAGAAATGAAAGATTTTTCTCATTGTTCACCAAATATATTCATGATAAAATAACTACTAATATCAACTGCAACTGATATCCATTTTATACAAAAAATCAACTTTTCTCTTCTTACAATTTCTGTTGCTTTTTCATAACCAACTTTCACTTATCTACTTTTGTTGTTTGACTATCATTATCATGAATATAAATATACAATAACTGAAGGTAAAAATGAGTTTCCATGTTGTCGTCAAATGAAACTGATTTGTCAACATTTGTCTCATTGTGTTCACTCTACAATTGTTGATCTTCAATTTGAAATCAAACAATTGGAAGAAATGAAAATGACGAAAAAATTGATTAAACTGAATTGCCTGAACTCATGTTTTGGAAACTTGTTGTTGGTGAAAAGCACAATAAATGTCGATGGAAGCTCAATTTTGATCTTTTCCTCTTCGATTTCATGTAACATTTTGTTTGTTCAAAGTCACCTTTCAATTAATAGGATGTTGCTTCAATTTTTGATGTAATATTTTTGTCAGTTTGGTTTAACCATTAATAATAATGACTTTTGTAAATTGAAAATAAAAGATTCATTAGTTTTTGTTTCTCATTTCAACTCAACGTTTTGAGCTTGAATTTGCTTTGCTTTTCGTTTTAAACATTTTCGTTTGTAGCAGTATTGTCATTTAACTTTAATGGTTTACACAAAAATGGAAACAATTTAATTAATTAATTACCTTTGTTTGAGGAATCAAATTGTTGATTGAAAATAATTTGGCGACAAGTTGATGCAGCGATTCCTGGTGGTGAAAATTGCAACTTGGCGAGTCGGCTTTTTACATCAGTTTCTGGTTTGTTTGATTTGCTTTCAATTTTGTTTTGCCGTCTCTTTCATTGATTATTGGTGATTGATAAATTTCCTGGTAAATTGTTGTCCATTTACGCACAATGAAAACAATATTTTAAAGTTGATTATCATGGAATTAGTTTTTGCTTGTTTTTGTTCCTTATTTTATTGGTTGATGTGATTGTTGTTGTTGTTTGCGGCGATTCGTTGAACAATGTTACAGACTGAGACTGAGTTTGCTTTTTCATCTGTTTCATAACAACATTGGAATTGAAAATTCAGGACTTGCGTCCTCATTTACTGAGAACCTCATCCTTCAATCGATAACCAGTTTATTGTTCATCATAACAGAGGTCAGGATATTGTGAGTCTATTGGAATTAGAATGTTGATATTTTTATTTTTTCTTCAATTTTTCAAACAAATTTTCTTTTAACTAATTTTTAATCAAAAACTCGATTAAATATATTAATTGATTATTGTGTTTCGATAATAATATTCATGGTTTGCTTTACTTTCATTTTTGGGTAATGTTTTTGAAACAGGCGCAAAAAAACTGGTTGCCTGGTGAACAGCCTTACAATAAAGATTCAAGTAACCGCGGCAACTGAACCACCATTAACAAAGAGTAGAGTTACATTCTTCACCAAATTTAATTAATGAAAAATAAATTCAAAATATTTAAAGTAATTTTTATTTTTAAACTGTGGTCTCACCTTTACATCCTACCATTTTCACCATGAATTTAAAGAAAAAGAAAGCCCAGGAGATTGGTTTGCGGTTGAGGACTCTTTTGAAATTGCCTAAAGCTCATAAATGGGTTTGCTATGAGTGTTTTTATGGCAACATTGATCAGCCACTTTTTCTTGGTAAAAATGATTTTCAAATTTGTCTAGAGGAAACTTTTCCTCATCTCAAGACTCGGTCTCTTAAACGAGCGGAATGGAGTAAAATTCGAAGGATGATGGGAAAACCAAGACGGTGTTCTGAGGCGTTCTTTGCAGAGGAAAGGAACGCTCTCAATCTTAAGCGCAAAAAGATACGCATCTTGCAATCCCAAAAAGTTGTTGATATTGAACAATTTCGTGATTTACCAGAAAATATTCCTTTAAGTTTGGTTATAGGAGCAAAGGTTACCGCCATTTTAAGAAAACCCCAAGAAGGACTTTTCATGGGTATTATCGATGCTGTTGATATGACACATGGCATGTACAGAATAACATTTGACAGACATGGTATTGGTACCCATTCAGTTCCTGATTATGAAGTTATAAGTAATGATCCACCAACATATATCGCTTTGTCATCATTCCAGTCTAAAGTACGACCCAGGTTACCCATGTTTGCATCATCAAGATTTTTACAACTTTTAGGTACCCAAGTAGCTCAAGCATTAAACGATCGCGACCCCCTTCTTAGTAGTCCTGTTTCCCCAAGTCAAATCAAACAAGAGCCACATTTTACATCAACAAACACCAACAATTACGAAGACGAAGGTACCCTTGGAGGCTTCCCTATCAAATTTCTTGCTCTTCTAGTTAGACTGACAAAAATACTGAATATCAAAAAACGGACAATTTTTGAATTGAAAGCTATGAATACAGAGGCGGAAAAGATGAGATCGCTGCAAGATCCCATAACTCGTGGTTTTAAAAAGCAATATGCACATCTAATATTGACGCTAGAAAAACTTAATATCTCTCTTGATGAGCATCTGAAAGCAGTTCAACATTTTACAGCAGAATTATTCAAATCATCCAACTTACCCTCCGTTGCTGAACCAAACAATATAAAGGAGAAACATCTTCGCCAAGCCAAGGATACAATTTCCAAAGTTTCATCTTCATTTGATGTCAAATCCGAAGCATCATTGAATCTCATCACTGAACTTCTAGGTTTGATGCTGCAATTAAAAAGTTTTGCCGAGATCGAGGTTGGTTCACAAGAATTGCAATCTCTTGAAAATAGTTTGAAGGACGCTAAAAAACTGGTTAATCAAATTAATCATAGCCATTTTGAAAGCCAAGCGCAAGTGCCTATTGCCTTCATGCAGTCATCATTGAGTCATCTTGGAAATCTTGGGGCTTTTGCTGAATCGGCTACGATATGCAACAATCTTGTAACTTAATTATGCTTAAGCTAACAACATGAGAAAATCCTTTATCGCCATCATAAAATAAAAACACGATTTAACTAATCAAATTTTACAGAACAAACAAAACCTTTGCTTGTCTCTTCACAATATCCACAGTCTTCCCTTAAATTATTTACTCCCGTGCGAATCTTAGAAAGATTCATTTTCTTCCTCATCTTTCAAATCTTTATCTTATTACACATTTATAACTGGAACAAACTTTAGGCAAACTAGCCCATTTTTCTTGGGGGGTCCAGAAGGATGTTAAGGTGAGATGGTCGAAAAACTGATTACAATTTCAAGATTATCGGAATCAATTTTAGAGCCAATTAGTTGACAATGGTCTGCAAACATCAATTGGTTGAATGACAACTAAACCTCCCACTGTTTGGTTAACCAATATCAAAAGATCCATGCCAAAGTATTTATATTTTTGTTTTCCTGCTACTATCTCATTGAGGGATAAAATGACCAACAAAGTTAATAGTAAAGGAAAAGCTGCAACAGATGATGATGAGTAGACAAAGTGGCAAAAAGAGCAATCAAAGATGATCCAAGTTGGTGAATATATCCTGCTGATGTTGTTTGTCCACCAATGAATGGGACTGCAATAAGAGATATAAAATCACATTTACCTTGTTAAATGATTGGGCCGCTAATTGGCTAATAAGAAGTGCAACAATTTTGGTAAAGAAAACAAAATACGGTGATTTACTAGCAATATTGAGCTTTTTTATGAGCATTTATTTTTAATCTATTACCTGACTATCTTTGAAGACCTCCCAACATGGTGATGATTCGAGTTATCCTTCTCTAACTCATATCTCTCATCCCATCTTTCAAAGATACTTTCTTCTCTTCTCTCTCTTTTTCCAACTTTTTTTATGATCTCTTTTTACTAGCCTAACAACGACATTTTATTTCTAAGTGTTTACAGTGATGGACAAGTTGAGTATGGTCCGTCAATCAGTTATCTAGACTAGGCTTGGTTCAGCCGGCGGGCAAAGTAAGATGACAACGATTTGATAGGAGGGGAAAAAGGCAATCCAGTAATCATGTTGGTCCTGATGATGATGATAATGAGGCAACTAGTAGTTGTGGAGGTGGCGGTGGTGGTGGTGGTGGCAGTGGAGGGAGGAAGGTTGAGAAAAGTAAAGAAATGGTTGGATAATAAAAGGTAAACAAAACGGTAACCAATTCACCATTTACTTTGCTCTTTTCAGCTTCAAAGTTACCTTTTCCCTCCCACCCAATCTCCATTGCCTCAAGGTACATATTTACACCCTCAATTCTAGGATTTATACTTTTCTTGTTATTGGTTTCAAGATTGTGACTGTACATTCGTTGAGTGCTTATTCCTGCGTCCACCAAGTTTCATTTTGTCATTGTGGTTGTTAACATATTGTTGTTAGATTTTTCAATTAACAAGTCAATTTGGTAAAATAGTCGCAAAAATTGAGATTGGCCTTTGCATTGGAACATCTGAAAAGGAAAAGATTTCATTCCTTCTTTATTCTTATTGTTGTGCTGTTAAACATCGAGAAAATACGAAATGATTTCAGAGCCATTTACAAAGTCAATTGTTGCTCCTGATAAGTTAATCAACCCAACAACAGCGCAAATCAATTCAGTTCCACCAACATTTTCCTGGTTCTCAAATTATGTCCATTACTATCTTTTCTGGCAACGTTGTTACAACAATAATATCAACCAACCATCAACATGTGAATTGTTCAACAACTCTCTTGATCAAGTCTCATCTTCATCGCCATCCTCTTCTTCATCTTCAATCTCAACACCAACAGCCAGCAAGATAATAGGTTCATTGTCATCACCAAGTTCACGAAAAAAGTTCAACTTTTCCAAGCTTGCTCAATCAGCATTGGAAAAAGACAATCTCGAGGAAAACAAAACATTGATTAACCCAAATAAAGATTCACCAATTTCCCAAGCTCAAATGTCATCGCTGAGAGATCCACTGATTTCCTCAACAACGTCTTGTCCAGGATCATCATCATCGCCATCAATAGCCAGGTTAAAGTCGCAAGAAACCTCTTCATGTGAATTAGCCAACTGTTTGGTGGGCAAGAAAGCTCGCTATAATCGACCGAAAAGAAGTTTTACTTGCCGTTTCTGCCAAAGACAATTTACTAAATCTTATAATTTAATGATTCATGTTCGTACTCACACCAATGAAAGGCCTTACACTTGCGATACTTGCCACAAATCATTTAGGAGACAAGACCATCTTCGTGATCACAGGTTGGTAAACATTTGAAAGTGTTTTTGTTAAATTTACAATTTTCACATTCAACTTGGTTGGTGGTAATTCCAGATGATTCAATTAATTAGTTAGCTGATTTCAAGCTTTCATTGTGTTGACAGATTCAATTGGATTAACGAAGACTTGCAACATTCACAAAAATCTCTGTATATTGATTTAGCAGCTAGGATCAATCCAATTTACTCAGATGTTGTGTTGTAAACATTAGCTTGATTTATCACCATTTGATTTAGTTATTTGATACTACCATTTGGGTAGTCCAAATGTCTTAATTATTTCATAGATTCAAGTTAAAATTCTTGTCACACCCACAACTTTAATTCAGATAATAATAGATTGATAGATAACAACTTTCACTGTTTTAGATATCCCTGAATTATACAAGTTTGGAATTGCCTTTACAGGTTTTACCTTATCAATGAAGCTATCGCATAAACTGAATGATGGGAAAAGTAGAGTTCACTTTCGTTGATCAATGATCAAACAATTTACAGTCATGGGTTAGATGAGAATTAATTTCTAACCTGATAGCTCAAATCGCGAAAATCAGAGACACATGAACTCATTAGCAGAGTCAAAACTCTTAACACACAAGAAACTGCTTTTCAAAAGCAATCACTTTCAATCTTTTTATAAATCTTATCCATTCCAAATTCATGTCTTAATTTTGATCAAATGTCTTGTTTATCAGTCAGCAATGTTTGACGTTTCATGAAGATCACCAACAGCTTACTTGTTCAGAAAATTACCACCAAAGTTGAATACTGAAGAGATATAAATTTCTGGTGCACTTATTAACCACAGATTATTAAACAAATTTTCATTTCTATTCAACAGGTACATCCACATGAAGGAGAAACCATTTAAATGTAGTATTTGTGGCAAAGGATTTTGTCAAAATCGGATATTGACAGCCCATCTCACAACTCATACGCAGTTGAATGGATTTTGAAGTTTACTCTATTATTGACCAATTCAAATGAAATAATAGCAATGGTATTCCGTGTGTTTGTATAATCTCAATGAGGATGATATTATTAAAGATGTAAGGCTTTTTTCTTGTGTTGCTGTTTCCAATGGTTATCGTTATGAAATGATTGAAGACTACGACTACGATGATGATTCCAACCGCACTTTTGCATCATATTTGAATGATAAAGGTTTTTTTCGTTCGGTTGATGGTACTTCCTGGTTTAATTATCCTCAATCCATTGTTCTCCTTTATCTTTCTATTATTTTGATAAGTTTGCTAATTTTATTAGCAGTCAAGATGAACAAAAAACCTTCAAATATGACAAGAGATGGTTCCACAAAATCAAGAGGGTCTATACCCACACTGACAACAACTTCATCATCAACCACATCAACAGTATCTAGATCACCAACTAGACTAGATTTGGCAGGTCCATCGGATTACAAAACAACGGAAATGGACAAATAACAAACAATCATTGATCCTTAACATAATTATTTGTCAACTAATTTACACTTTAATTGAATAAAGTTATTGGATATAATCTAATGTTACAAAATTATCACTAGTTTTTCGATTTTGGATTATATTCCTTCGCGATCCTTGTTATCCCAGATGCTTTTAGACTTCAACTTTCTACGATTGAAAAATCTCCTGAAATATAAGAAAAAGACGATTAGAAAATGTTTTTGAAGGCGATTTAGGTTATCAATTACGTGTGACAATCTTTTTCTCTCCAAAAGCGTCTTGATTGATTTGTGAGTCTAATCAATTCTTCAGCAGTCAAGTCCCTTCCAAACATGATATCGTCAACATCTTCTCGCAAATCCACCCTCAAAACCGAGTCTTCCTCTTTGAGCTTAGGTTCTTCAACTGGTAAAGGCTGAAAATAAGGACAATTGTTAGCACAATAAAATTTCACAGACTAGATAAGTAAACTTACTTTAGTATGTTCATAAGGAAAAGATGGTTCAGGATGGTACATCACAATTGTTCGGCCATCATCAGTTAAAGAAATTCTGAGAGGGAAAATTTGCCCATTTAAACTCGCAATTATTATCATTGAACAGTGAAAATAACGATAGATATGTTTGATTGTTGTAGAGCAAAAAAATAGAGACCATACTTACTGAACGTCACTTTGATCAAAAGACTTAGCTGATGATGAAAATAACCTGCTTTGAATCGTTCTTAAATTTACAAACGATGCAGATGAAAGTCGTGCAAACATATTTAATTAATAAAAATCGATGGTAATTTTACAACTTCTAAATTTAAAATTGACAATTGATAATTATTTTCATCAAATCGGTTTTTTGCGAAAATTCATCACATGGATTTGTTTTGCTATTGAAGCGCCATCTAACGATAGCGTTTAGTTATTTGGTCTTATTTCTCTGTTTGTTTATGTTTGTTTCTGTTTAAATTTATCATAATTACTTAAGTTAAAATGAGCGAAATAAAAGTGACACCTTTAGGTGCTGGACAAGATGTTGGCCGTAGTTGCATTATTGTCACAATCAACGGAAAAAACATAATGCTAGACTGTGGCATGCACATGGGTTATAATGATGATCGTCGTTTTCCTGATTTCACTTACATTACCAAAGAAGGGCCGGTTACAGAGTTCATCGATTGTGTCATAATTAGCCATTTTCATCTAGACCATTGTGGTGCTTTGCCTTATCTGACTGAAATGGTTGGTTACAATGGGCCTATCTATATGACCCATCCAACAAAAGCAATTTGTCCTATTCTTTTGGAAGATTTTAGGAAAATTACAGTCGATAAAAAGGGTGAAACAAACTTCTTTTCCTCCCAGATGATAAAAGACTGTATGAAAAAGGTTATTGCTGTAAATCTTCACCAAGTTATCCAAGTCGATGAACAATTGGAAATCAAAGCTTATTATGCGGGACATGTTCTAGGAGCTGCCATGTTTAAGGTTTCTGTTGGTCAACAATCTTTTGTTTATACTGGAGACTACAACATGACACCCGATCGTCATTTAGGAGCTGCTTGGATTGATAAATGTCGTCCTGATATTCTGATTACCGAGTCAACATATGCAACAACCATAAGAGATTCCAAAAGATGCCGTGAACGTGATTTTCTTCTCAAAGTACACGATGCTATTGAAAGAGGTGGCAAAGTGTTGATTCCAGTCTTTGCATTAGGACGAGCACAAGAATTATGTATCTTACTGGAAACTTATTGGGAGCGAATGAATCTAAAAGTTCCTATTTATTTCGCAATAGGTTTAACAGAGAAAGCCACTAATTATTATAAAATGTTCATCACTTGGACAAATCAAAAGATTAAAAAAACCTTTGTCCAGAGAAACATGTTTGACTTCAAACATATCAAACCCTTTGATCGAGCTTACATGGATAATCCTGGTTCCATGGTTGTCTTCGCTACTCCTGGTATGCTCCATGCAGGTCTTTCTCTTCAGTTATTCAAAAAATGGGCTCCTTTTGAGAACAATATGGTCATTATGCCAGGTTATTGTGTTGCTGGTACAGTTGGACACAAGATTCTTGGGGGAGCGAAAAAGGTTGAATTTGAAAATAAACAAGTAATAGATGTAAAAATGTCAGTTGAATACATGTCTTTCAGTGCTCATGCTGATGCCAAAGGAATCATGCAGTTAATTACCCAATGTGAACCTGCTAATGTTCTTTTAGTTCATGGAGAAGCAACTAAAATGCAGTTTTTGAGTCAAAAAATTAAACAGGAACTAAATTTAGAATGTTATATGCCAGCAAATGGTGAAACAGTTTCTATCCCTGTTAAAATAAGTGTTCCTGTTGACGTTTCTCGTAAACTTCTCAAATCAACACTCCACCAACCTATGATTGGATCAGAATTGGAAGTCAAAAAACCTCGTTTACTCCATGGTACTTTAGTCATAAAAAATGACGAAACGGGAACAACTTTCAAGCTGATCGAACCAGACAAGGCAATGAACGAGATGGCTATTAAACCTCATCAAATTCGTTTCACATCATCTGTAAGATTGGAAAATACTAACCGTCGACCTGCTCTCCAATTATCTGAATTAATTTACAAATATTTGTCCAACAAATTACGTGATCAACACAATGTATCCTTTTTAAATGATGCATCAATTATGGTCTCTTCGGTAATGCTTCGAGTCGACATGACCTCAGACGATGAATATAAAGATGTTTACGTTTCTTGGGCTGATGTTGACGAATCACTGGGTAGTTATGTGGTCAGTCTAATTCAAGATATCCAAAGCACATTATAAATTCATATTTATAAATAACCCAACCTACCGTATCGTTTCACCATAAACTGTATTCATAAAGAAATCATCAAACTCTTTGTTATTTAATTAAATAAACAACATTAGATGCTATCAAGTGCATCAAAGTAAGCAAACTAATATCATTCCATCTGTTGCTGAAAATTGTAATACCAATTTAGATTGGATTTAGAAGTGGCAAGCTGGATAAAAATGAATCTAAAGCTTTATTCACATAAAGTGTACAAACACTTTTTCACTCAAGATCCAAAGAAGGCCTTTAAAAGCTTTTATTATTATTACTAGGAATTATATAACTTCTTCCCTAAGACAGTTTTAGGGTGCAATTAAGGTTGATGACAAAAAGAGCAAAAAACAGTCACTGATTCGTTTTTTGAGTCCATTAACCCTTTCATTGAAGGTTATTATCAGTTAGTCTCATCTACTGAGTAAAGTTAGCTTCAAAGGAACCTCCGGATACAAAAAAAGATTATCAATCATACTTTTTGTAGTTTAATTGACAAACTTGAAAGTTCAATTAATGAAATGAAGTCTTTTTAAGAGGCCACTGTGTTTTAATTGCTTATTTTCCCTTTCAAATTTTCATAACACAATAGGAGAAGCTAAATGGTCCCTTGTAAGCTCAACCTGTTGTGTTTATTAATACATTTTCATTGAAAGTGAATCATTGTAATTGTAATGAATGACTTCACCTTTTTGCAATAATTCATGCTATTCACGTTAAAAGAAATATATTTTATAATTTATCAATCAGGCTCATAGGCTAGAGTGAAATATGATATTGAATTATCTCATGTTTTACAGACTTTTTGAAGAAAGTCGAAGTGGAATGAAATTAGGAGAAACTAAATTAGAATCAGTTCATTTTTATTACTTTCTTTCGGGTTTAATAACAATTGTTGCGTGTCCTTTTTACAGAACTGAAAGTAACTGAATGATCATCGTTTCCACAGTTTAGACTCGTTAAGGGCTCTGTTGTTCATCTCAATTTTGAACATTTTAAGCAAATTTTCTTTTATTTTCTTGTATGGGATAATTTTAGATATTCATAAAGATGGTTCAAACAAGTTGCAGTTTATATTAGGTTTTTGAAAGTCAGCAAAAGTAAATGCTTTACGGTTATTTAGTTATTTTATATGGTTCAAAATGTGTATTTAACATCATTACTTGAGATTCAAGCTTTACCATTCGGATTTTATTCCAGTCTCTGTCTGTCAACTGGTAATGCTTTTGTCAAATACCTAAAATTAGGACTGTGATTGCATTGCATCGATGAGGTAGTAATAATGATGACATCTTGTTTTAATAATATTGGGTCATAATTGTCATTAGTTTGATTAGTTTGATTAGGAGAAAGTTGATGAAATTAGAACTTCAAACAATGGCAGGCAACGGCTGTAAGTAGAACTCGAGTTTAACTGAACTTCAGCATTGAAGATGGATAAAAATTCTATGATATAATTGATGTTTAACTGATTTACCATCATTAATTTGAATTTTGATTTTCAGGTAAAATAGCAAAATAGGAGAAATGTAAGAGAAACGATTACGGCTCTACCTGGCGATAATAACTGTTACCATTTTGTAGATGAATTTTGTTTTCCTGGAAATTAAATCCATGAAAGAAATTGAAATCTACGAGTATTTCTGATAATATTTATACCTTTATTTTATTTGATTAAAACATGTGAAGTATCCGTTACTAAATTGCAATAATCTGACTTGGCTATCCTGATAATTGTAATTCATTATTTTGTGTAAACGTTCAAGCTTTTCCACCTTTGTTATAGTATGACTTCGCTTGGAAACCTTATCAGTGTTAACCTTTTTAGTTTGATTTTTATCAACTTAATTTGTATTGCTCAGTTGGAAAATGAGCTGGAAGACGAACATGGCGTTAAATACGCTAGTCAATGTGAAGGCAAGTTCAATCTGATAATCTTAATTTTCCTAGAACTGGGATGTCAAACAAAGTATGAGTAAACTTTTTTTATTATCTTTTTCCCCAAAAAATAGCTTGCAAATATTTTGTAACCGAATTGGAGGAAAGGTTAAAAGAAACTGGAAAATCTCACGATGTCATTGAAGTTGGATATAGTATTGATAGTAAACAAAAGAAGAGGAAAAAATATCAACAATCAGAATTGAGATTGGTGGAGTCATTGGACGGCATTTGTGAAAGATTATTGGAATACAATATTCACAAGGAGCGCAAAGACTCTACTAGGTTTGCTAAAGGGATGTCACAAACCTTCCAAACACTCCATGGTCTGGTTGAGAAAGGAGTAAAAGTTGACTTAGGTATTCCGTATGAGCTTTGGGATAAACCCTCTGCTGAAGTGACCAATTTGAAAACACAATGTGAATTGTTGCTGGAAAAACATGAAGATGATGTGGAAGATTGGTATTGGAATCACCAAGATGAATCTTTGACCAAATTTTTGTGTATAGATAGAGCTTTAAGGAAAGGTGATTCATCTTGTATATTTGAAGGAAAGGAAACTTCAACAGAAGAGCTTGAATCATCATCGAAAGATGAATTGTGATGATTTAAATAATTTGAATAAGATGCCAATTTTTTACACTCTTATAATAATAACGTTTTAATAATTTTGAGTCGATACAGAATGGGCTTTTATAAATTTCAACTTTTTGTAGGTGCGAAAGATACAGCTTTGACAGCATACATACAGCGTCCATATAATTTGTTCATTTTGAATGATGATGTTTATGTTGATTATCTTTATTTGAAAGAGTGTCAATTAATTCTTGTAACGGAGCTAATTCTCTTTTTTCTATCAGATTGAACTCTTGGACGAAGAAAATGAAATGCTTAAAGCTCGTGTTTAAATGAGCCTCCTCTCCTAATCTGAACACCTCTTCAAAATGCTGATGGTATATATGAGCATAAACACGGAACAGGCGTTTCAAAATAGTCTTAGCCGATGATAGAAAGTTTTTAGGAAACGGCACACCTAGTAAAGGATGAAGTGGGGAAGAAAAAGCAAATTAGTTGGATAAACATAAAAAAATATGACATAAAGATGATAATTTACATCATAGTCAAGCAATCAATATGAACAAGTACTTGTTAAACATGGTAATGTTAGCTTTTGAAATCAACAGTGGTCTTAGGAATGAGAAAATTAATAATGTTGATTGGAAAAATTACATTGATGTAAATATCATTTTAACTATGATTGTGTACTTTACCTATTTTAGAGGGAAAAAGTGATTCGTCGTCTAATTGATCTTGGACCCAGGTCATCAAATAATCAATATATTTAGGCGCCGAACATTTAATCGGTTTTTTAACAGTTTGACCATCAGCCCAATGGTATTCATATTTAGGGCCAGCAGACATAACGGGACAACGTTCTTCAGTACAGAACTCTGTTATTGTACCATATAACATGTTGATCTGATTAAAAAAGTCAACTATGTTAACAGCTATCCATTCATTAAGATCTTCTCCTTCCGGTAGCATAACAGCTAATCTTAAATTGCCAGAGCCTAGAGTTGCAGCCGCATGTTTCATTAAATCATATTGATGTGTTCCTTCAGGTATCGTCTTTTTGGGCCTGAAAGTTTTATTTGAACGACTTCCACTGGAAAAAATGAGAAAATTTAAAAATTTATCACTAAAATCATTAAAATGTTGGGATAAGGGCATAACTTATTCCTTTCCTCTTTTTGTCTGTTAATTATTTTGCTACTTTATTTGAACACAGGACACACAATTACACAACACAACACAGCACAATGAGTAGTGAGGGAAACTAACTTGGTTCAATCAGATGAGAATGATCTTGACGATAATGGGAATTAAAAAAGAAAGCAAAAAGTTGTTTGAGAGAGTGGGCGAGTATGGAGAGAAGAAGAGAGAATAAGGTGAAGAGAATGAGGAAGATAGAAAGAAAGAGAGGAAGATAAAGGGAAAGAGGAAGATAGAGATAGAGAAAGAGTGGATGAAAAAAAGAACTGAATGAGAGGAACTGAAAAAGAAAGAGATAAAAAAGAGAGAGAAAATGAGAAAGAAAGAAAAGGTTGAAATGAAAAAAAAACATAAGGTGGAGAGGAAGAGTAAAATATAAAGTAATATAAAATAATAATAATCATAAGAGCCTGAGAACAGATAATGGAACAATTAAGATGTAGATAAATACTTACAATAAGAAGCTCATCCCATTTGCTTTTTAATCACAATCAGTTTGGAAAACCTTTTTAATTGACTGTAACATAACATGAATATAACATAACAAGTTGTTTATTACAACAATAATGACAGAATCTTTAAAGGATCCAACACATATCCAGATAATATCGTTATCGTTATACAAATTGGATAAGTAACTTGCTCAACGTTTTGTTTACATTTTTCAACTCTTTCAATTTTATTGATTTAAATATGGAACGACAATTTATTTCAAATCTCAATTGTCTAAGTTTTTTGTTTATTGTTTTTTTGTTCAATGTTTGTGTCATTTGTGAGATAGAGATAGATTTATGAAGGAAAAAAACTGATGGAAACAAAAGATCCATAAAAATTGAATGTGTGAATGTAAAACTGGACTTTTTATTTAGAATAAATCATTTTTTGGCAAAAGTAATCTTAATTGGGTTAGTTGGAGCAATTTTAAAACCTTGTAAGTTATCTTTTGCCGCACCAGATTGAAATTCGTTTTCAAATTCAACAAAAGCGATATCATGACGTCCAGGAACTAATCGGACTTCCTTGAAGCCAGGGAATTGATTGAAAAGAACAGTTAACATCATTTCATTTGTTTCTTCGGGAAGATTTGTAATGAATAGAATGTTATTGGGTGGTTGTTCAACAAGAGCGGAATGAGGAATACCACCAGCAGTTTGACCAGGTACACTAGTTCCACTTTTCTTTTCCTTCTTTCGACGCTTCGGTTCATCTGATTTAGCATATTTAGGTCTTTCAACATAAGTTCCCTTCATTTTGGCGATAACATCTGAGTCACTTTTAGCATATTGAATTCTCTGAGAAAGTAAATTGATAAAGACAATTAAATAGTGTTTTGAGATAAAAAATATAACAGGTAGAATGATAAAATTGTAAATTACCATAGGTTTGTCATAAAAAAGGGAAACCTTGCATTGAACGCATAGCAGCAGCTGCAGAGGTAGTTTCTTTAAAAATCACGAAAGCTTGTCCTCTCATTTTAAGATTTTTTATCGCCACAATATCTAAAATTTGACCAAACTGTGAAAAAATAGCATGCAAAGATTTTTTGAGTTCTGTAACGAAAAATATAAAAATTGAACTTGGTTACAAAATAAAACAATGGCCAAAAACCATGAGACTGAAAATTATGAAATTCTTACCTTCTTTCTTAATCTTTTCATTGAGATTATTGACATAAATAGTATGATTAGGTTTAATGTCGGCAGTCATTTTTGAGATTGTTACTTTGGTAAGTCGTAAGCTTCGAAAGATACAAGAATCCGAAAAGGGTTTACACGATACTTTTAAATTAATTGACAATCAAAAATAAACCAAAGAACAACCCGGTCTTTTTAGCAATTTTACCATAGAAACCGGTATCTTTCTGGTACTCGATCTAACTTTTCAAATGGATCCAACTCATATCTTCCGCTCACAATTTCAACGCAACTGTCAACATAAAAGGTTTAATCGGTTATTATTAAGCTGAAGGAAAATTCTGTTTCCAGTGATGAGGTAATTACAATGAATTTTATTCAATCAAATTAATATGAGAGTTTTTCATTGAGAAATATCATAAAGCTCTTCAAAAAATTTGAATGAAGACCAGAAGATGGAGTAATAGCTCCATAAAGTTATTCCTTACTAAAAATGACCAGCAGATGGCAATAGTAAATCTAGAAATACGTTTTTGATTTTTAATCTAACATTGTAATCGTTTTAATTAAACCAGTCAATAATTACTGAACAAGTTTTACTGATCTTTCTAAATAACTGAACATTCGTGAATGGTGTAGGATGTAAAATTGTCACCAAACTAAAACTCGTTTAATTGGCCAATGAAGTTTCAATCCATCAATCAACTTTATCGTTATGGTAAGCCGACATGATTTGAAAATGTAAGGTTAGTAAAAAGATTGATATTTCTAGTTAATTCAAACATTTTTTATAAAAATTATTTACTTTCTTACAGAGGAAGATTGTTAGAGAAAGATTTAAGTTGCGGTGTAAAGGTGATAATGATGAGCCAAGTGTGCTAGAGATTTAGACTTTAATACTTGCTGCTTTTGAATCGACCAACTTGCGGTTGAATTTTTTGCAAAATTTTCTTGTCTAATGATATTATTTTTTCTCTTTCTTTTTTGGTTTAGCTATCAACTCTGATTATTGGAAGGAAAGGCTAACAAAAATTTGTCGCTGTGATTAAATACACATTTCATTGCGTATGGCTCTTTTTTTCGCCGTGGATTAAACTTGATTTTGGTTTGAGGACACAGATGATGAAAAGATAAAGGTGATGATACCGATGATCCATCATCGGGGTGACATGGAGCATCATGTATTAATAATAGCAACAATAGTCTTGTAACAATTAACTTTCAACAACAACATATTGAATTATTTACTTTTGGTAACAACAAAGATTAGACTAAACAGATACAAGATGTAAAAGGAGGAAAAAAAGAAAAGACGACTAACCCAGACCGACTATTAAAGCCTTAAAAAGCGGAATATTTACCATAATGGGATAATATTGGAAGATGGTAAAAGCTCAAGAGAGAAACATATCAGTTATTCACATTCAAATTAACTTTCATCATCTACTAATATATATAATCAAAAAGATAAACTTCTTTAACATGATAAAAATGATGATAATACATTACCACAGATTATCAATGGATAGTTCGTGTTTGGTGTTATTGTAAAAGTTAAAGATGATAATGGCCATGATGATGATGATCAAAGGATCACATAGATTAACAAATAACGTAACAGTGTAAAATACATAAAGAAAAAAAAAGATGAAAAAAAGGAAGGAGAAGAGCAAAAAGGAACAAATCTCGGATTACAGAAGAAAACAAGTTATCATCTTTCCTCTTCCGTTTTGCTTCATTTTCTTTCTGTTGTCAAGAAGCAATAAAAAAACAAATTGCTTATTACAAGCTAAATCCTCCTAATGCAACAAATCGTATGGTAATTCAATTTGATAATCAAGCGACAATCGTTCACCTTACAAGAAAAAAGAGCCTTGGTATAAATGGATTTACATTCAAGTACAAAACCAAAAAGAGGTCCAACATTAGTGTTAATTGGATGCATCTCAATTTGTTTATCCAATCAAAGAGACTAATTAAAGTTAATTATGATGCCATGTAAAAAGAAGCTGGAAAGATGCAACTCAAATGGATAAGATGAAATTAACATCATAAACTTGAGCCTGTATAGGTATACTTGGTTTGATTGGAAGGCCTATACAATGCTTCATGTAGCTGTTCAATTTTGGCTGAACAATTTCAATGGGTAATCTTGAAGGAGAGAAAGGTGTATAACAGGAAAAGCAAAAAGAAGGAGAAATAAAAAAAAAGAGTAAGTATACAGGTTACCTGAGAAAAGTACAGTCAGTCAACAAAAAAAAAGAGAGAAGCTAAAAAGAGAGACTCAACTCTCTTTATCTCAGAGTCAATACTTTGTTACCTGATTTTGCTTTCTCAGGTTTCCTTATTTTTAAGGTTGATCTTTATTATTCTCCTTCTCTTTCATCATCACTATCAACATCACCATCATCATCGTCATCATCATTATCATCATAATCATCTTATTCTTAACCGCACAGTCACTTGAGTAAACTCAAGTCTTTCAAATCACACGCACACCAAAATGGCGAGGAAATGTTGAAGCAGAAAAGTACAACAAGTCGAAAGGAAAGGAAAAAAATACATAACAAGACTTAACAACGGCAAAAACATCAACACAAAACCAGCTTTGGAAATGCAACTGTATTCACTTCCTGGGATGCTTTTGGTCATCATCTTGCACATCTAATTTGCATTATGGCTATCAACACCATCATCGTCATCATTTTAAACACTGCAAACACTTTCACGGTTCATACCTTTTTATAAATACATTTTATCCTCTTTTTCCTTTCTTCTTCTTCTTCTTCTTCTTTTTCTGATTCGCAAAGAAATTGATTCTTTCTTTCCTTTTCTGGTTTCTCTTCTTGTTTCCAGTGAAAGATTGTTGACGACAAATGAATATAATGCAAGCATCAATAAAAAGCCAATGTTTAATAAGGGAATAGCAAACAAATGATATTATATTAAACGTTAAAAGTCACATAAGTCAGAGAGAAGAGAAAGAAGAAGAAGAAGAAAAAAAGAAAGAAAGTTAAGGATGAAGACCGAGAATAATACGAATTGTAAGGTTGACTTCTAAGTGGCCTTAAGTTTCTTTAACCATTGTGTGAATCACAAGAAACTAGGAAGGCTTAAGGACGAAGCAAGGTCTATTCATTGTCAAGTTAGTCTCAGTAACTCGACTTTGAAAAGACTTAACCTTTCTTCAAACTTACCTTACTTCTTTCGCTCGTCATCTTCATTGTTTGACCTCATCTTAAACCTCTATCTATGTACATATACTGATACCTTTGTCCTTTGTCATCACCAGGTCAATTGGTAAAAGGTACACAAAGGTTAAAGGTTTTTGCTTCCCTCTTCACTCTCTCTGTATATATATACATGCGAAATGTCAGCCAAATGAGAAGAGGAAGACAAAAAAAAGAGTGAAAAAGGTAAGCATTATTATTAATAATAATATTATTATTGTTATTATGTTATTGACGGAGTGAGAGTTGAAAAATGAGAATACGAAGAAGAAGAAAAACATTTTCCAAACAAGATGATGAAGAAGTGTGAAAAAAAGGTTTTACCCATTAACTATCAAAGGAAACTGAGCTGAAAATTAGGTGATATATTAAAGGAGGTGTGGAAAGGAGGTGGTCAAGTTAAAGGTTGGTTGGTTAAATGTGGTCAACAATAATGTGTGTTGCTGCAAGAAAAAAAGAGCAACAACAAAAAAAGGTTAACAAGAGTTAAGGTCAGTTGAGATCATTTTGCTCACTTATTATCACTCTACTATCACACAACTAATAATACATAACATTGAATGGGTCAACATGTTAACCGTTTTTATTGTTAATCTCACTCTCTCCCAACCTGTTTAATCATTGCTAATAAGCTTTAATTAAGCTTTATATGTCCAATATGATTAATGATTGGACCATTGGGTTAATTGAAATGTTTCAAGTAATGGCACTATTTGTCTTGTGAAAAGTAAAAACAAAACTCTAGACTCTGCCTTTCAACTCATTTAACTCATTCATTCAATCCATTCATTTGAATGTGATTCTTCCTCTTGTTAATCATTTAACTATTGAACGTTTCACTGATTTGTTTAATTGTTTTCACACACACAGAGAAAAACTTGTCGACAATTAAATGTAATCATTAAGCATGAAGCAATTAATTGTGAAAGAAGGCCAAAAAAATGGAAACATTTTTTTGCTTAAATGTGGAAAAATGTTGATCATTAATTATGACTACAATTGAGAGGTTGAGAGGAAAAAAAGTCAAGTTTCGGACTTTTTCGTTCTCTGTGAATAATGATGATATTTAGGTGATCTGATGAATGATTCAAATTGATGGTGAAAAGAGAAAGGCTAAATGATTAGAATCGATTGAATGGAAGAGGAAAAATATTAGTTGATAAAGTGAAGAGTTGAAAATTGCAAGGCAAAATTTGTTATAAATGTATCATCAAAATAAGTGACTGGGAGTGAAAAAAATATCAAGGCCAAGCAAGTGTAAACTGAGATAGATAAATGACTGGAAAGGTTTTATCTGGATCAACATTTTTTTCTCAACCAATTTCTTGTTCCCTCCTGGACACCATTGAGTTGTAATGATGGTTGAAGAGGAATGATACAAAAATGAAATTTGACTTGAACTTTTCATTTCAATTGCTTCTTCTGGTTAGTTGAATCGCAATGGGAACCTTCAAGTACAATTATCACTTTAATATACAATAAGAGTTTCATTATTTTACACTTTTACCATTCATTCACCAATATTTCATGAATGGAATGATTAATTTTGCTCACTCAATCTGTTGAACAATTTGCTCAGATTGACTTGATAATTGCCTTTAAACACCTTGAATCATTTTCTTGATCATATTTTATCATCAATCAAATTGACCTTTTCTCTCTTGATGAACATGGTGATGATGATGAGGTTTGGATATCAGACTTTGAAAGTAAAGAGCAATTGAAGTCATTGAAACAAAAAGTAATCAGTTTGATTTATAACCAGCGACCAATGGTCTCAATTAAGGGGTTAACCATGTTTAGTAGATGAAAGTGATGACCATTGACAATATGGAAACAGTTTAACAATGGAAGATGAAAATGAGATAAAAGATAATTTTCTCTTCTTTTCTTTTCTCATTCATTTTCTTCATTCAGGTTTCCTCCTCTATTGGATTAACTGTAAATTGGAGTCAAAAGGAAAGGGTAAAATCAATTGTAATCCAATTGAACTTTAACCCTCAACTGACCTTTCCCTTAACCCATTAACATTATTATTTATCATTGGCAATTGGCTTCAATTGTTCATTCAAATTTGGATTCTTCATCGGTTTGAAATGGAAACAAAAAGTTGAAAGTTCAATCTTTTATTGTTTCAATTTCAAGCAAATCAAGGTAAATATTTTTCCTCTATTTTATATCATTCATCAATTGACTTATCATTAATCTTTGTTTAACTTTTTTTTTCTTCTCTCCCTGTTGTCTGTCAAAAAAGTTGATTCAGTTATCGATAGAGATTGAATCAATATTGAATTGTCAGATTAAAATGAGTTTCACTTGGTTTCGTCAATGTTGCTCTGAAATTGGTTGAAAGCTGATTCAATCAACTCGACTAGATTGAAACATGAATTGATGATTCTTTTCTTGTTAATCGATGCAATTCACTTGAAAATAATGTTTATGAGCTTTAAATGATGATTTGCAAAGCTAATTATCAAGAAAAAGAAGAATAAAAATACTAATCATTTACAGAAATGATCACAAATAATCAACAATAAAAACCAATCCAATAAAAGACTAACCTAATAAATGAGATTGAAAATGAAACATTGAGAGCAAATTTACTTTATTACAGAAGAATTCCAAGTTTTCTTCAATTTCTAACCTTGGCTCTAGATTCCCATCATTTTCAGCTCTCATCTTCATCTTCATCCAAAATTTCCTGATTTCTTGACAACTGAAAAAATGAATTTTGCAAATAACTCATAGATTTGGTTCCGTTTAAAGCAGATACTAGGAATGAATCACAAGTCTTATGTTATGCTTTCATTTATTCATGTCTTCGATCTCTTTCATTTTAATTTTCCTTTGCGATTTCGATTTCATTTCGAATCAATTTTTCGATCTTTTCTTCTGAATCAGATTTTGATTTCTTAGTTTTTTTCTGCTTTTTGATTTACTTGTTACAATAAGATCGGCCTTGATCTGGTTAACACTGATTTTTGATGAAAAGGTCTCGGCTGGTTATGCAAAATTTTGTGTTTCTTGAGCTTCAAGTTGAGCTTCGTAATTTAACAGACCTTTTCTAGCAGTTTACTGAAAGCTGTAAAAAGATATAAAGATTGGCGAAACAAGTCAGAAGCTAGCGTTAGCACTTAGCGTAAAAATAAAACAACCTGTTTAGTGACCTTCTTTAGGCTTATTAGGCAAAAGGGTAAGCAGAAGCAACAATAAAAAGAGTAATATCGGGATAGTTGGACAAGATGAAGAGTTTGGTCGGTCACTTTGTTTCAACTTAAATCTCCTCTGACCTCACTTAAGCCATCCCTTGAGGTGTTCGTCGCTTTCGGCTTTTTTCTTACTCTTTACGTTTTAACCAAGTATCAATGTTTCAGTTTTGCTTTGTTCATTCCTTTTCGAAGCGCTCATTCAATGTTCAACTAACTTGGCTTACTCAAAGTCTATTAACCATCTTCAGGTTACTTTTAATTACCTTTCTCAATGAGAACATGAAACATATCACTTGAGAGTAAAATGTATCATCACAAGAATTTCAACTTTTCTCGAATTCGTTACAGTTTGTTAACCAAAAAACGCTCAAATTACCTTTGACTTTCCAATCAAACCTGCAAACAAATGAAATTGAACCTTTTCAATACCAATTCAAAACCAAAGAAAAATATAAATTTATTCGAAACTTAAAATTTCAAATGTTTGGTCAATTGAAAAGTCGATTAAACTGCAATTAATGAAACCAATTGTTAAATCGGAAAGAAAAAGTTATCCCAAAATGATGCATTTAACAGTAAAAGGTAATTGTGTTTTGATAACAATAGTAAAGGTCAATTGATTTAAGTAACTTTTCTCACCCAGCAAAAGCTATTCTAATGGTTAATATTAACTGTCCTCAATTGACATTAATAGCGATCATATATTTTACCATGGCTCATATAAACGCCAACAAACAATCATAACAATCGCAAGACTGGAAACTGGAAAAGGCCAACCAATGGAACAAGAACTGTAACCCAATGATAATCGTAAGTGAAAATCTGAAGTAAGGGTTAAGACACGAACCATTGAACACACTTTTGAAGTGAACAAAAAAAAATCTCTTTATCTCTCAGCATCTTCATCACTTTTCATTTGTTTACACACATTTCAGCAACAATGTGAATACCTAACCACTTTTCAACCTTATGCAAGTATCACTGTAACATTGAAAAGTGTTTCAAAAGATTTCTCCTTTTCTTTGCCCGATTCTAATGGTTTCAAGTTATTATATAATAACTTTTTGACACAATTGAACATCATCATCATTATTATTATTGTAGTTTTTTTTTCTTCTTCACTTTTTATTACTTTACATTGCCTCAAGTTATTTCGCTCGTAAAGCTTATGCTTTTAACTCTGTATAATATTCAACATTTACACTTGACTACACTTTATGAGTCTAATGGATATCAATATTGTTAAACTATTATCCCTTTAAGTCATTGAAAATTTGAAAAGTTTCGATTGATTAACTTGACTGTTGTTGAAACATTTAAATCATTTTCAAATCATTTACTCATTTAAACAAGTGAACAACTGTTTATTACAAAGACAAACAGAGAAGTCAGAGAAATGATTTTTAGTTTGAAAAAGATGAAGCCTGTTCAGATGGAGAAGATGCTTTATGATCAATCAATTTGATTATCATTAAAACTCAAAGTTCTCGTCATGATAATGATCGCGTTGAAAGATGTTACAATGTATTTAATAATGGATATTATTTACAATAATCAAGTTAAATGATCTTTTCCAACTCATCTTTTACCCAGTCAAGACATTTTTTTTTCTGCCTCCAAGATGCAAAACTAATCAATATTGACTCGACTTGAACAATCCATGTTGAAGCAAAAAAAGAAGAGGAACCACAAAATTGGGAGAAAAACTTTTCTCTTTTTGCAATAATTACTCTTGTTTTGTAGTTATTCACTTTGATTTAGCTTATGCTGCCAACAATTATAATACAATTTAGCTGGCAAATGTAAGCAGCAGAAGAGCAAGTTGATGGATTCAAGACTTGAACATGATAATGTTGATGAAGATGAAGGAAAAGAGAGGAAAAAAAGATGAAAAGAAAGGCGAAAAAAGAGATTAAAAGGAGAAATATTTTTACCGCTAATTTGTATTTAATATAAAAGATGAAGAATGAAAAAACCCTTTTTTCCCCATTTTCTGGAAACTCTTCATTTTTGTAATAATGTTCAATATCATCTAATACACCAAATTAGCATAATCCAGTTTACATATAACTAGAGTATCATTGAGATCAATAAACATTTAGATGTTAGTCGATGTCAAGTGTGCAAGTGAAAATTTTACAATTGAAATTGAAAGTCAAAAGTGCATTTAAAATGGTTCAACAATTTTGACCAGTTTGCCAAAACAATTAAAATGCACGCAAAGTGATTAAATTAAATTGTATTAAAAAGCAAGGTTAAGCTGGCAACTTAAAGTGTTGCGTTCAACTTTTGATTTATTTTAGTAAAAAAGTTTATTTCTTTTTTTCAACTTTTTCTTCTTCTCCTTACAACTAAAACAATTAAGATTCACTAATTTAACACAATTAGATGAGATCATAGAGAGTTATTTTATTACAATTTGTTAAACTTAAATTTACAATCAGGTAATAAGCCAACAAAATTAAACTTTGAATGACTTTTCCTTTTTTTAACTTTTTACTTCTTCTTTTGAAATTAACTTGCAATTTTTTAGACTCACCTTTAAGGTGTAACCAATGATGATCAATGTAACTATCGGTCAATAATGCTAATGATGATCATGATCATGAATTGAGTTGAAAGAATCGTAAAAAAAGATCACATTGCAATGAGTTTCTTTTAATCATTTTATTGCCCCAAAAACTGGTATTATGTATTAAATTGAATTGAATTTTGTGTTTTTTTTCTTCTCAATTCTTTGGTTCAATACTTTGAAAGAAATAGTTTCATGTCAATTAAAGATTTGTTTAAGTGGATTCAGACAGAAAAAGGTTTACATTTTGATTTATGATTAAAGTTGGAGAAGAGGAAGAAAATTGTTAATCTGATTAACTGAAGGTTAAAATATGCTTTTACTTGAGTTAACCTTTTGTTTGTTTAGGTCGTTCAGTCAGATTGATTGTGTGTGTGTGTATATTGTTCAAGACTGTCAAACAGTTGCTCAGTGTTTATTATTAATATCAGGTAAAATGTATTCACTGTTTAGCATTAAGTAACAACTTCAAGTTGCCTTCAAGTATGTAAAACCTTGTAACCAATTTTCAACCTTGTCTAGCTAATGATTGGTAAACATTGTTAACAAGCAAAGTTAAAGCTAACATGAGTCAACAAGAAGAAGCCAGAAAAAAATGGTGAAAAGATAAATAGATGATGAAGAGGATTGAGATAATGGTGAAACATTATGCTGGTGATTAGAAGGTGAATGATCATTTTTATTCCTGATTATGCTCTAAAATATTCTTAATAATCCATTTCATGCAGACCAAATGACCAGTTTTGAATGAAATAGTGTTCACTTTTAGTAATCACCTTTTCTGCTCGAAGGCGATAATTGAATCAACTCATGGCGCTAGTTTTCACTGCGATTTCAACTTGTTTTGCATTCTTAACCTGTGATCAAAGGTTACAGCGTATTCAATGGGAAATGTTAAAAGATTGTCAACATTAACTTTGGTTTTTCCGCCGTTCCAAAAGCTTCCTTCAGTTGATCAACTGAGGACAATTTAAACGTTTTGTAGTCACTTTAAGGTTGAAGTGCATTCTGACAGATTTTGCGCTCTGAATATTCAGGGATTGACAGAGTCGAGAATAAGCTCAATCTGATTCTGAGTATTTTGAACGTTTCATGGCTGATCTTGAATTCAGTGTGAATGAAACTGATGAAGAAGGATTATTTTGTGCTAGGAGAAGCTTTGTACCTTAGGGTAGTTCGAGAGGTTAAGATGAAATTCATTTATTAAAAATCGAAATTTATTCCAAAGAACTTTTTGTGACACGATTTTTAATCACAGGTTATTAACAAGTGAAACAACTGGATTAGTCACTATGGACTCTGTGTCTGAATGAATCTGGATAAATGTCAATCTTGGTTTGGCTCGAATCTTTTTTCATTTGAAATCATTTTTATCATTCATCATCATTTTAATCGGGTTGTTGACAGTTTTCCGATAACTTCAAGTGTTTACACCATTTCTTGTTGCATCGATTTAAAGTAAATTTCATTTGATTGACTTGAAAATTTCAATTTTGTTGGCGTAAGTTTTGCAAGTTTTTCCGATAACTTTGAAAAGATCTGAAACAAAATCAAATCAAATAAATTCACGAATTTACAGTCACTATTTTTGATTGATTATAATAGCAAATAACACAAGTCTTGATTGTAACTGTTAGAAAAAAAGAAAAGGTTAAAAGGTTGAATTGATAACTGTTGGAGTTTAGAGTTTTATTCAGATATTTTCTGCAACTGTTCAAGTTAATTGATAGTATCAAGTAGACTCTTTGATATTTTTGATTGTTGATATTTGAAAACGGCACAAAAATGCAGACTAAATGTTTTATTGAAAAAAATGGTTGACATTAGAAATGGTTGAATCACCGAGAGAGAGAGACAAAAAAATAGATTAACTTTGACTTTTTTCAT